CTCATACTGAAATTGTTGGTCAGTCTTAAATGTCCAGCGCTGTTGCTTGTCTTTGTCTTCAATGAAATAGTCTTCAGTGTAGACGCCAGAGTCTAGAACATGATCTGGTGGCTGACCCTGAGTCTCTATGATGAATTTCAAAACATCATAGTCTTCATTTCCAGGGTAGAGTGGCAGCCCTGTAGCAAGCTCCACAGCTACCAGCCCCAGAGACCACATGTCAATTGCTTCATTGTAAGGAAGGCCAAGCATAACCTCAGGTGCACAATAACCAACCGTCCCCACACGGTCACCAGGCATCACTGCAGACGCAGGACATGCGAGGCCAAAGTCTATAAGTTTGACTTTGATGGGAGACTCATGGCGGTTTACAACCATGATGTTTCCAGGTTTGAGGTCAGCGTGCACCATTCCCACAGAACCCAGGTGGGACAGAGCATTTGTCAGTTGACCTAAAATTGGCCTGACTTCGCTTATGGGGAGACAGTGGTTTTTCCGGTCCCATATGTAGTCCCTCAGGCATTGATCAAGGAGTTCAAATTTCAGGCAAACCCGCTCTCCGTCGTGAAAAAAGCCGTCCCATTGAACAATGTTGGCGGCATCTGAATCCAACCTTCGCAGCTGCTCCAGGATGAAAATTTCCAATTTCGCCTGTTGCAGAATATCAGGGCGGCTCTTGTTCACTTTAATAGCCACAGCTCGGTTAGTCATGGTATCACGACATTTGGCTACAATACCAAAGCCCCCTTCTCCGAGGAAAGCCTCTACCTTGTAGTGCTTTCCCAAAATGCTCCCTTTAACTAATCCAAGCTCATTTGAGCTGAAGGATGGGTGAGCTGACATGGTGAAATGTGTCGGCTTGGTCGGTGAATTGCTAAGTAAAATTCTCTCAAAACTCTCCAAAAAGGGTTTGCTTGCTGTCAGGTCAAGGTCCGTTGAGCATTAAAGTTTAACAGAGCAAAGCTCCTACTTAAGGGTTTTTTCTCTCAGCAAGATGATGACATAACAAAGGATCTATGTCATCATCTTGTGATGTCACAAGATGTCACCTTTTTTCACAAGATGCATTCCATTTGGATCAAAGGCATTCTATTTTTTCAGTTGAAACACTAAAAAAAACAATGTTTCAACAGGCCAGGCTGCATTTTCTGCTGCGACATCTCAACAGGAGATAATAAGATAAAGACAAGGAAGACTGGTGATCTATCCATATCAGCAACATCGGCAGGTTTCTAGTGCAGGAAGTAATAAATTCAGCCCTCGTGTTTGCACTACAGGTTGCTTTCATGAGTATTTCTGTTTTTGTGGTGGGGGAATTTTTCCTCGTTCCAACGATGTAAACAAAAACATTAATTGTGCTTTCCGCAATGACTAGTAATCATTTTGTCCTACTGTTCATTTACAGAACAGGAAAGGTTTTGTTTGGTTATGATTGTTTTGCAAGAAATGCTTCAATCACAGTGGGGTAGTCTTGATTAAAATGTTATATGAGAACTGTGGCACCATGTGTGACCAGATATTGGCATGTAGTCGTCGCCAGACTGTCATCAAAAGTGTAAAGTTTGGGACAGACTGGACAAAATACATTTTTAGAGATGAAAATCTTATGTCCAGTGATAAATGATCAAAATTCCACCACAAACATGGCTTTGACGAAGATGTCCCTTTCTGAAGTAACCCCAAAAAGTTCCTGAAGTAACCAAATGGAATTTAACCAGTGACCTCTCACTTTGCAGGCGAATGTGTAAACCAGCGATGCCTGGAAAACACTAAAACTGTGCCAAAATGTCATTTTGCATTCAAAATGCCGGACTTCCAGACTTCCTCTTTGGATTGGGTTCACTGAATCTGTGTGTAATAAATGTCATACACGTATTTCAAGCTGTAAATAAGTTGTTAGAAGTTCTTTAAAATTTCTTAAGTGGTGCTGTAGATCCATTTCCGCAGTGCCAGTCACTTTTTTAAAAAAAGTACATTTTGACCTGATGTGAAGAACGCAAAAAATGTCATTAGTTTGGAAGCATGTTTGGTATATGATATACTTGCCTGACTAATAATAATTTATTATTACTATTACTACTGTTGTTGTTGTTGTACAATGGAGCCTTTCCCCTGTGAATGACCAGCTCCCAGCTAAAATGTGTATTTTGTGCCATTTATAAGGTCAGTGCTTTATCATACCTTAAACTGTGCAGGGTAAAAGCCTCAGTTGCTGGGAAAAGCACAGGTGTATTAGAGTTTTTCTGAATTGCTAAAACACTAAACCCCATTGTAAAAACTAAACTGTCAACTATGAAAACTCTTTCATCAAATCAGTCCCACTGTTGCCAAAATCTTAAACACTATTCAAAGCTCAGTCTCCCATTTAGCAAAACTCTAAACACAAAACACACTTAGCAGTGTGGTGCACCTGTTGTCGTGTGAAGGCTGTGTGCAGTAGTGATGTCTCCTGTGTGTCGAAGCTTTGAAGCGTGTGTCGGGTAATCTCGTGGTAGTTTTGTAAAGCGCGTATCGAGGCTTGCTTTGATTACGTATGCAGTGATGTTCGAGGCCTCGCGGGCAGTCCGTACCACGTGACTGATTCAGGAACTGGCTCGCCGGTTTGCACCAGATTCTAAATAAATTGGGCAGCAAAACACAGCTGATTCCCCGTCACATTGTGTTGTGGAATTGGATTACGTCCCAGTTACATACTTACTTGAACATTTCTCCTTCGATGGAACCAGCAAGGAAGAGAATATTTGTCTGACAACATTTAATCTCATCTCTCCTAATAAAGTATGCACACAGTAATAAATATCACAAATGATAAGTACCATAATATAAATCAACAACACCACAGATCTTATAATCTGATTTCTGTCTTTTAGTTTATTACAGTTTTTTCTGAATGCCTAAGCACATTTTTTGTAACTATTGGCTAATTTTGCAAAACTCTTCACACAAATAAGAAAACCTGTCACCCAATAATCAAAACATTGTAGTTCTCTTGCAAAAGCAAACACAGCTAGATTAACTCTTCACACCTTCGTAAAAATGGTGTTTCCGTATCAAACAGTACACACAAGCCATCATCTACTAAGCACACAATGCGCCAACTGCACACTGATGGTATGAATACAAAACACATCTGGCTTTTGCTTTCTCTGTGCACAAGGTAGGCTATGTCAGTTTGAGCTCATACTTCTGTCATAGATCCATAAGCATAGAGGGATCCAAACTTCAAGTACTGGTGTACTTGAAACACATCAAAACAAACACAAGTGTTCATTTCCAAGTATAGGATTATTTGCAATCGCCATAATGACTATATGGGTTACTTGGTCTGCAGTGAACATGCTTCCTCTGCCCCCAGCATCTGGTCATCTAGCAATTCTGTAAAGTAACAATTTCAGTATTTTTACATCAATGGTATTGGTGTGTTTCTCATTGGCATATGGCAGTGCTACAAATCTTTGTGCGAAGTGACTGTACTAACCGATTCTCATTTCAAGATGTCCTTATGGTACTTGCTACAGTGTAGCGGCTCGAGTTAGGCTGGACCCGTTGGCCAGCTACCCTCAGGGTCATTCCACGGTTGATTACATGGTTGATTACATGGTCCACTATTGTCATCAGCAATTCTATTTCTTACTCTTCCTACCCTTCCTCTCCCCCTCCTCATCTTCCTCTCCCCCCTCCTCGTCTTCCTCTTGCTCCTCCTTGTCCTTGTCGTCCTCTTCATCCTACTTCTTCACCTCCACGTCCTCTTCCTCGGCCTCCTCTACTTCTCACTCTTTCTGCTCCCTCCATTGTACTCCGCACACACAGCTTACCTGTATTATAGTGCTTAGGCTGATTGCAAAGTGAACTAATTATCTAAAAAAGTTTTCACATGTGAAAGTGTGCCAGACAGTTGGCAAATTAGTGTTAATGATAGCCATACATGTGTATACTTTTGCTAGGAGTGTGTTGGAAATTTGGTAATTGAGTGTTGTGCAGTGAATTGTGCCTACCGTTTTGCAAAGTGTGTGTTACAAAATTGCAAACTGAGTGCAAAGCAGTTTATGTGCTTTTAGTTTTGCAAACTCAGTGAGTGGTTTTGCTATAAGTCTGAATAGTTTTAGAGATTGTGCTACAGGAATCACAGTTAGGGTTTAAGCATTCAGAAAAAACTGTAAGTTTAGAGGTTTACACATCACATCATTATAATCATTGAGCCTGTCTGACTTTAATCGTCCACTTGATGGCGCAGTAGAGCCAATGAATCGTCACAATGCTTCGAACCATGAGTCGACCAGTTGGATGGAAAGCTTCAGTTCATCACAAGGCTTCATCTCACCATCACTAATGAAAGCTCTTATAATTTGGCTGCTATTAGAGACCATTGATTTAGTCTCTCTTTGGTTACTACGTGGATCTTTTTTCAGACAAATTAATGAAAAAAAATATAATAAATGGAAAAACAGAGTACAAATGTGGACAGTTAACTGGATATTACAGCGCGATTTCAGTGCATAAATACATAAATACAGGTCTGAGACGTAAGTGGTGCAATATTGATAGAGCTCACATGACTCCGTCCTGTTCGTATCCCAGAAATCCACCAGGATTTTAGTGCCTCATATACTGCACAGGTCATTGGCACACCTGAGATTCAGGACGACATGCTAAGCAGTGCTGTGTCACCATCAATAATACACCATATTAATGCAAGGTACAATTACAGCTGGGCTCCGCCACATTTTATTTTAACAGAGGAAATAAAATATGCAGAGCTAGCTGAGTTGGTTGAAATTCAGTTGCTACTTTAAGAGAATTTCATACAAGAATAATTGAAGATAAAATAGGTTATTAAAGCTGTCATCATTGCTTCAGTGCCATATTCTCTCTGCTGTAACTCCGATTTGAAGAGGGCTTGTTTAGGCAACAACTCAGAGCACTATACGATCACTGCCGGTCACTTAGGTGATTTGTTATAAATGTGAAAACAGCTATGCAGGTTTAATGCAAGGAAGTCTTTACTCAGTGTTTGGCATGGGTCCTAAATGAAGGAGGGGTAGTCTGTCAGTCACTGCATTCCTCACCTGCATGGGAAACTTCCCAAACTGGAAGTTATCAGAAACATTGGAGACAATACTGAATCCACCAGAGACAGCTGGGACAGGTCCTAGTCATTACCATACAGAAAAGAACGGATTTATTTCAGTTCAGTTCAAATTAATAAGGTGAAGAAAAAACAGAGACTGCATCTTATGTGTTTTCTATTCTATTCTAGTAGTTTTAGAATCCAATAACTACACAAACAATCATGGCAGTGAGGTGTGGAGGGCCAGGAGTGACAAAATGAATGAATTAAATATGCCATTAATTATTGAATTAAATGTTTCATTATTTAATTAAATGCCCATTCACTTCACTAGTGTTTGTAGTTGTTGTTGAGAAATGCCCACTGAAAGAATGGCCACCAGGGCAAGTGCCTGTAATCGGATTACAGTAACTCGTTACTTGTAACGCATTACTGCCCATCTCTGTTGAGAACAAATAATGTAAATGAATAATAGTGTTCAAATTGTTCGTTAAAACTCTGCATATCTCAGAAAAACTAAAAAAAAATCAGCTTTCTTCACTCACTTCTTTACAATGCAGCCATTACAGTCTTCTTTGATTGGTCGCTGCAGGATTGCCATTCTTCTCATGTTTAGTTTTTTTTCCTATCAGTGCTTTAATTCTATGAAATAAATTTTTCAAAGTCACTTTTTGCTTTCACTAGCTTGTTTTTAGTGTCCCACTTTTGGATCTTCTGAACTCACTCTGATTAAAGTTGTCATTGTACTAATGTTATTCATGTGCAGCTGACTTCACAGCTGTGTGTGGGTTTTTTTTTGCTTTTTTGCAACTTTTTGTGATATCTAAATGTTTAACCTGTTCAATAACATTATTACTATTCAGTGATTATTATATATGATTATCACTTGGCTACGTGAACATACATAAATCTGTTCAATCTCAGCGACACAAGCATGTCTTCATGCGCACACACAGTTTCTACTCCCATTCATTCAGGTTTATATTTACAACTTTTACAGGACGAATGGACAGCCATCACTTTAAGGAAAAACAAAGAGAGAGAGAGAGAGATTATAAGTTCAGGGCAGGTCAGTTTTTATAGAAATGCATAGATGTGTGTTGTACTTCCATCTGGCTTATTACTTTCTAATGCAGGGGAAAGACATTGGCAAAGAAACACCTACTACATAAATAGTTTGATTTGAAGTTGCTCTTTTGAGTCCTCTCTATTGACTCTGACATCCTGCTGTTAACAGTTTCATGGTATTGCTTTGTTTGCTTTAAACAAACCTCACAGGGTGGTAGAATATGTCTGCGGTGCAGAGGTCCTTGGATCGCCTCTCTGTTGTCTTTGTTGACAGCAATGAAGGTGGTGAAAGAACTGCTCACTCCTGATTGGACACTGAGCTGCACCACCTTCTCCTTCACTCCTCCATCTTGCTGTCCTCTGAGCTCTCTCTCCTTCATCTCCAGGGAACGAATCAGAGTGCGAGCACCCAACCTGTGGACTGTTAATCTGCAGACAAGGAAGAAAACATTTACAGTTCTAATGTTTCCTATTTTTGCTACATTTGTACATCACTGACTTTTCTGTTTTTCTGTACTGAGGGTGCATTCTTTTTATATTAGAATTAGTAGAGTTACAGAGGGTATATAGAGTGTGAACATAAAATAAGAGCTTGATTAGGCTGTAGAAACGGATGAAAATCCAGTAAAGTGAAGAGTGTGTGTGTGTGTGTGTGTGTGTGTGTCTGGCAGGAAGTGAAGCAGGAAGTCTGAATATAGCTTGTGAGCTTGTGAGAGACGTTTCAAAAGGAAAACAGAGGAATTAGAGAGTGAAAGTGCTAAGAAATAGTAATGAAAATGATATTAAATAAATGTCTTAGTGTGTTAATACAGGTGCCCATGGACTTGGCTCAACCTCAGATGAGTACAGCGGCAAAATGATAGATTAACATAATTGGAACGACAAACAGGCCAGGCTTTGGCTGAAATTTTACAGCTTCACCTCTCATCCTGCCCTTATCCTGAGAAGAAGCTTAAAGGACAGTCAATCTCCTGATGAAGACAGAAAACAGACAGAACAACACCGTAGATTTGAAGAATTAACAGCAGGCAGAAGACAGTACAACTGACCTAAAACACTGAAGGGTCCAGCAGCATGTATGTTAATGGAACATGTGCTCTGAATTACAAGCTGGAAAGAGTACCAGTGACATGACTGTGTGAAAGCACTGCATTGGACTGTCTGAGTTCATATTTGCCATGCTGGGAGTTAACCGCCAAGAAAAGACTGAAAAGATGAAGAGAGAATGAACAGAGAAGAAGAAACGGCTGATTTGGGCCTGTGTTTGATTTGGGAGGCCACACAGGAAGCTGTGAGAAGAGGGGACGAGGACCGGTGAGAGGTGAAGGCTGGACGTGTTCAAGTGAAAGTATAGGAAAATTGGGTTGAAAATTGAGGCTGAACTTGTGGGGTTTAGAAATGTCCAGAGCATCGCAACAGAAAGGTGAATTAAAAAAAAGAGAGAGAGCGGGATGAAGAAATAAATAAACTAATAATACATAAATGAATAGAAAAATCTTTTGTATATGGCGCGGTGCTGTGGGCACCTAAGTCTTTGATAGTGTAGAATTTTCAAGTCAATACCATGGTTGCATCTACTGAAAATCTCTGTGAAGCTTAAATCTCAATGACCTTGACTTCAAGGTCAGAGGTCAACTTTTCTGAAAATCAGAGGAGTTTCACATTCATAACACAGGTATGTCTACTAGGAGGCTGAAGGGTAGCTCTATATATTTATAAACAATCAAAAACAACAATTATTACGCAATTTATTTCCAATTTGTATGGAATTTATTTCTGTAAAGGTGGTGTTTTAGGTCTGATTGAAGGACTGATGTGATGGTAAGGTGTCCACTGCTGCGCTTTGAAGATTGGTAGGCTTTTTTTTTTAAATTTTCACAAGAATTGCTACTTCCCCTAGAGTTTTGGCCACTCCAACAATCAGAAGATTTCCCTATGAGCAAGCATTTAGCGACAGTGGGAAGGAAAAACTCCCTTTAAAAAGGAAGAAACCTTCAACAGAGCCAGGCTCAGGAAGGGACAGCCCTCTGCCACGACTGGTTGGGGTGGGGGGAGTGAAAATTTAAAAAAAAGAAGCCAAAGTGATCATTTTTGGAGCAGCTTAATTAATTTTTGCATTGTAATTTGCTGTTAATGTCATTTTCCAACCCCAGTTTGTATTTTTATCACTTTTGTCCAGGGTGGAAGATGCCATGCTGGAGACTGATTCAGTATGGTCTTTCAATGTTGATACATGGGAACCTTTTAGAGAGGCCAGGGCTGAAAAAGGGATGCCGGAGAACCTGAGAGGGTGTTATCCGCTGGTGTGCATCCAAGGCCAACATCTGTTTAATTAGGCTGACAAATAAGCGTTGGCCAGCTTCTGGTCCTCGTCTAAACATCATTAGCTGTTCAAGGTCATCCAGACGTGTAAGTATTATGTATCTTGTCTCCAGGGATTCATGTCCTGTCCCTGGAACAGAGCCTTTATATTGTTCTTCCGTCTTAAATGTCCAGCGCTGTTGCTTGTATTTGTCTCCAATGAAATAGTTTTCAGTGTACACGCCAGAGTCTAGCACATGATCTGGTGGCTGACCCTGAGTCTCTATGATGAATTTCAGATAATCATAGTCATTCTCCGAAGGGTAGAGTGGCACCCTGTAGCAAGCTCCACAGCCACCAGCCCCAGAGACCACATGTCACTTGCTTCATTGTAAGGAAGGCCAAGCATAACCTCAGGTGCACAGTAACCAACCGTCCCCACAAAGTCACCAGGTATCACTGCAGACGCAGGACATGCGAGGCCAAAGTCTATAAGTTTGACTTTGATGGGAGACTCATGGCGGTTTACAACCATGATGTTTCCAGGTTTGAGGTCAGCGTGCACTATTCCCACAGAACTCAGGTGGGACAGAGCATTTGTGATTTGACCTAAAATTGGCCTGACTTCGCTTATGGGGAGACCCTGTTTATTCCGGTCCCCTATGTAGTCCCACAGGCATTGATCAAGGAGTTCAAATTTCAGGCAAACCCGCTGTCCGTCGTGGAAAAAGCCGTTCCATTGAACAATGTTGGCGGCATCTGGATCCAACCTTCGCAGCTGCTCCAAGATGAAAATTTCCACATGTGCCTGTTGCAGAATATCAGGGTCGCTCTTGTTGACTTTAATGGCAACAGCTTGGTTGGTTGTTGTGTCGCGACATTTGGCTACAATACCAAAGCCCCCTTCTCCGAGGAAAGCCTCTACCTTGTAGTGCTTTCCCAAAATGCTCCCTTTAACTAATTCAAGCTCATCTGAGCTGAATGATGGACTGGCTGATGTGTGGACGAATACTTGCTGAGAAAATTCAACCGAGTTTTGAAAACTGCAGTTGATTTTCTGTGATCTCTTGCTTTCCAAGTTTGAAGGGTGCTGAAAGACCACAGGGTTTTGTGATATTTCAGCACTCATGTCAATGCACAGGGAACTCTTAGGGCTGAAAAAGGGATGCCGGAGAACCTCCGAGGGTGTTATCCGCTGGTGTGCATCCAAGGCCAACATCTGTTTAATTAAGCTGACAAATAAGCGTTGGCCAGCTTCTGGTCCTCGTCTAAACATTATTATTTGTTCAAGGTCATCCAGACGCGTCAGTTTTATGCATCTTGTCTCCAGGGACTCATATCCTGTCTCATACTGAAATTGTTGGTCAGTCTTAAATGTCCAGCGCTGTTGCTTGTCTTTGTCTTCAATGAAATAGTCTTCAGTGTAGACGCCAGAGTCTAGAACATGATCTGGTGGCTGACCCTGAGTCTCTATGATGAATTTCAAAACATCATAGTCTTCATTTCCAGGGTAGAGTGGCAGCCCTGTAGCAAGCTCCACAGCTACCAGCCCCAGAGACCACATGTCAATTGCTTCATTGTAAGGAAGGCCAAGCATAACCTCAGGTGCACAATAACCAACCGTCCCACACGGTCACCAGGCATCACTGCAGACGCAGGACATGCGAGGCCAAAGTCTATAAGTTTGACTTTGATGGGAGACTCATGGCGGTTTACAACCATGATGTTTCCAGGTTTGAGGTCAGCGTGCACCATTCCCACAGAACTCAGGTGGGACAGAGCATTTGTGATTTGACCTAAAATTGGCCTGACTTCGCTTATGGGGAGACAGTGGTTTTTCCGGTCCCATATGTAGTCCCTCAGGCATTGATAAAGGAGTTCAAATTTCAGGCAAACCCGCTCTCCGTCGTGAAAAAAGCCGTCCCATTGAACAATGTTGGCGGCATCTGAATCCAACCTTCGCAGCTGCTCCAGGATGAAAATTTCCAATTTCGCCTGTTGCAGAATATCAGGGCGGCTCTTGTTCACTTTAATAGCCACAGCTCGGTTAGTCATGGTATCACGACATTTGGCTACAATACCAAAGCCCCCTTCTCCGAGGAAAGCCTCTACCTTGTAGTGCTTTCCCAAAATGCTCCCTTTAACTAATCCAAGCTCATTTGAGCTGAAGGATGGGTGAGCTGACATGGTGAAATGTGTCGGCTTGGTCGGTGAATTGCTAAGTAAAATTCTCTCAAAACTCTCCAAAAAGGGTTTGCTTGCTGTCAGGTCAAGGTCCGTTGAGCATTAAAGTTTAACAGAGCAAAGCTCCTACTTAAGGGTTTTTTCTCTCAGCAAGATGATGACATAACAAAGGATCTATGTCATCATCTTGTGATGTCACAAGATGTCACCTTTTTTCACAAGATGCATTCCATTTGGATCAAAGGCATTCTATTTTTTCAGTTGAAACACTAAAAAAAAACAATGTTTCAACAGGCCAGGCTGCATTTTCTGCTGCGACATCTCAACAGGAGATAATAAGATAAAGACAAGGAAGACTGGTGATCTATCCATATCAGCAACATCGGCAGGTTTCTAGTGCAGGAAGTAATAAATTCAGCCCTCGTGTTTGCACTACAGGTTGCTTTCATGAGTATTTCTGTTTTTGTGGTGGGGGAATTTTTCCTCGTTCCAACGATGTAAACAAAAACATTAATTGTGCTTTCCGCAATGACTAGTAATCATTTTGTCCTACTGTTCATTTACAGAACAGGAAAGGTTTTGTTTGGTTATGATTGTTTTGCAAGAAATGCTTCAATCACAGTGGGGTAGTCTTGATTAAAATGTTATATGAGAACTGTGGCACCATGTGTGACCAGATATTGGCATGTAGTCGTCGCCAGACTGTCATCAAAAGTGTGAAGTTTGGGACAGACTGGACAAAATACATTTTTAGAGATGAAAATCTTATGTCCAGTGATAAATGATCAAAATTCCACCACAAACATGGCTTTGACGAAGATGTCCCTTTCTGAAGTAACCCCAAAAAGTTCCTGAAGTAACCAAATGGAATTTAACCAGTGACCTCTCACTTTGCAGGCGAATGTGTAAACCAGCGATGCCTGGAAAACACTAAAACTGTGCCAAAATGTCATTTTACATTCAAAATGGCGGACTTCCAGACTTCCTCTTTGGATTGGGTTCACTGAATCTGTGTGTAATAAATGTCATACACGTATTTCAAGCTGTAAATAAGTTGTTAGAAGTTCTTTAAAATTTCTTAAGTGGTGCTGTAGATCCATTTCCGCAGTGCCAGTCACTTTTTAAAAAAAGTACATTTTGACCTGATGTGAAGAATGCAAAAAATGTCATTAGTTTGGAAGCATGTTTGGTATATGATATACTTGCCTGACTAATAATAATTTATTATTACTATTACTACTGTTGTTGTTGTTGTACAATGGAGCCTTTCCCCTGTGAATGACCAGCTCCCAGCTAAAATGTGTATTTTGTGCCATTTATAAGGTCAGTGCTTTATCATACCTTAAACTGTGCAGGGTAAAAGCCTCAGTTGCTGGGAAAAGCACAGGTGTATTAGAGTTTTTCTGAATTGCTAAAACACTAAACCCCATTGTAAAAACTAAACTGTCAACTATGAAAACTCTTTCATCAAATCAGTCCCACTGTTGCCAAAATCTTAAACACTATTCAAAGCTCAGTCTCCCATTTAGCAAAACTCTAAACACAAAACACACTTAGCAGTGTGGTGCACCTGTTGTCGTGTGAAGGCTGTGTGCAGTAGTGATGTCTCCTGTGTGTCGAAGCTTTGAAGCGTGTGTTGGGTAATCTCGTGGTAGTTTTGTAAAGCGCGTATCGAGGCTTGCTTTGATTACGTATGCAGTGATGTTCGAGGCCTCGCGGGCAGTCCGTACCACGTGACTGATTCAGGAACTGGCTCGCCGGTTTGCACCAGATTCTAAATAAATTGGGCAGCAAAACACAGCTGATTCCCCGTCACATTGTGTTGTGGAATTGGATTACGTCCCAGTTACATACTTACTTGAACATTTCTCCTTCGATGGAACCAGCAAGGAAGAGAATATTTGTCTGACAACATTTAATCTCATCTCTCCTAATAAAGTATGCACACAGTAATAAATATCACAAATGATAAGTACCATAATATAAATCAACAACACCACAGATCTTATAATCTGATTTCTGTCTTTTAGTTTATTACAGTTTTTTCTGAATGCCTAAGCACATTTTTTGTAACTATTGGCTAATTTTGCAAAACTCTTCACACAAATAAGAAAACCTGTCACCCAATAATCAAAACATTGTAGTTCTCTTGCAAAAGCAAACACAGCTAGATTAACTCTTCACACCTTCGTAAAAATGGTGTTTCCGTATCAAACAGTACACACAAGCCATCATCTACTAAGCACACAATGCGCCAACTGCACACTGATGGTATGAATACAAAACACATCTGGCTTTTGCTTTCTCTGTGCACAAGGTAGGCTATGTCAGTTTGAGCTCATACTTCTGTCATAGATCCATAAGCATAGAGGGATCCAAACTTCAAGTACTGGTGTACTTGAAACACATCAAAACAAACACAAGTGTTCATTTCCAAGTATAGGATTATTTGCAATCGCCATAATGACTATATGGGTTACTTGGTCTGCAGTGAACATGCTTCCTCTGCCCCCAGCATCTGGTCATCTAGCAATTCTGTAAAGTAACAATTTCAGTATTTTTACATCAATGGTATTGGTGTGTTTCTCATTGGCATATGGCAGTGCTACAAATCTTTGTGCGAAGTGACTGTACTAACCGATTCTCATTTCAAGATGTCCTTATGGTACTTGCTACAGTGTAGCGGCTCGAGTTAGGCTGGACCCGTTGGCCAGCTACCCTCAGGGTCATTCCACGGTTGATTACATGGTTGATTACATGGTCCACTATTGTCATCAGCAATTCTATTTCTTACTCTTCCTACCCTTCCTCTCCCCCCTCCTCATCTTCCTCTCCCCCTCCTCGTCTTCCTCTTGCTCCTCCTTGTCCTTGTCATCCTCTTCATCCTACTTCTTCACCTCCACGTCCTCTTCCTCGGCCTCCTCTACTTCTCACTCTTTCTGCTCCCTCCATTGTACTCCGCACACACAGCTTACCTGTATTATAGTGCTTAGGCTGATTGCAAAGTGAACTAATTATCTAAAAAAGTTTTCACATGTGAAAGTGTGCCAGACAGTTGGCAAATTAGTGTTAATGATAGCCATACATGTGTATACTTTTGCTAGGAGTGTGTTGGAAATTTGGTAATTGAGTGTTGTGCAGTGAATTGTGCCTACCGTTTTGCAAAGTGTGTGTTACAAAATTGCAAACTGAGTGCAAAGCAGTTTATGTGCTTTTAGTTTTGCAAACTCAGTGAGTGGTTTTGCTATAAGTCTGAATAGTTTTAGAGATTGTGCTACAGGAATCACAGTTAGGGTTTAAGCATTCAGAAAAAACTGTAAGTTTAGAGGTTTACACATCACATCATTATAATCATTGAGCCTGTCTGACTTTAATCGTCCACTTGATGGCGCAGTAGAGCCAATGAATCGTCACAATGCTTCGAACCATGAGTCGACCAGTTGGATGGAAAGCTTCAGTTCATCACAAGGCTTCATCTCACCATCACTAATGAAAGCTCTTATAATTTGGCTGCTATTAGAGACCATTGATTTAGTCTCTCTTTGGTTACTACGTGGATCTTTTTTCAGACAAATTAATGAAAAAAAATATAATAAATGGAAAAACAGAGTACAAATGTGGACAGTTAACTGGATATTACAGCGCGATTTCAGTGCATAAATACATAAATACAGGTCTGAGACGTAAGTGGTGCAATATTGATAGAGCTCACATGACTCCGTCCTGTTCGTATCCCAGAAATCCACCAGGATTTTAGTGCCTCATATACTGCACAGGTCATTGGCACACCTGAGATTCAGGACGACATGCTAAGCAGTGCTGTGTCACCATCAATAATACACCATATTAATGCAAGGTACAATTACAGCTGGGCTCCGCCACATTTTATTTTAACAGAGGAAATAAAATATGCAGAGCTAGCTGAGTTGGTTGAAATTCAGTTGCTACTTTAAGAGAATTTCATACAAGAATAATTGAAGATAAAATAGGTTATTAAAGCTGTCATCATTGCTTCAGTGCCATATTCTCTCTGCTGTAACTCCGATTTGAAGAGGGCTTGTTTAGGCAACAACTCAGAGCACTATACGATCACTGCCGGTCACTTAGGTGATTTGTTATAAATGTGAAAACAGCTATGCAGGTTTAATGCAAGGAAGTCTTTACTCAGTGTTTGGCATGGGTCCTAAATGAAGGAGGGGTAGTCTGTCAGTCACTGCATTCCTCACCTGCATGGGAAACTTCCCAAACTGGAAGTTATCAGAAACATTGGAGACAATACTGAATCCACCAGAGACAGCTGGGACAGGTCCTAGTCATTACCATACAGAAAAGAACGGATTTATTTCAGTTCAGTTCAAATTAATAAGGTGAAGAAAAAACAGAGACTGCATCTTATGTGTTTTCTATTCTATTCTAGTAGTTTTAGAATCCAATAACTACACAAACAATCATGGCAGTGAGGTGTGGAGGGCCAGGAGTGACAAAATGAATGAATTAAATATGCCATTAATTATTGAATTAAATGTTTCATTATTTAATTAAATGCCCATTCACTTCACTAGTGTTTGTAGTTGTTGTTGAGAAATGCCCACTGAAAGAATGGCCACCAGGGCAAGTGCCTGTAATCGGATTACAGTAACTCGTTACTTGTAACGCATTACTGCCCATCTCTGTTGAGAACAAATAATGTAAATGAATAATAGTGTTCAAATTGTTCGTTAAAACTCTGCATATCTCAGAAAAACTAAAAAAAAATCAGCTTTCTTCACTCACTTCTTTACAATGCAGCCATTACAGTCTTCTTTGATTGGTCGCTGCAGGATTGCCATTCTTCTCATGTTTAGTTTTTTTTCCTATCAGTGCTTTAATTCTATGAAATAAATTTTTCAAAGTCACTTTTTGCTTTCACTAGCTTGTTTTTAGTGTCCCACTTTTGGATCTTCTGAACTCACTCTGATTAAAGTTGTCATTGTACTAATGTTATTCATGTGCAGCTGACTTCACAGCTGTGTGTGGGTTTTTTTTTTGCTTTTTTGCAACTTTTTGTGATATCTAAATGTTTAACCTGTTCAATAACATTATTACTATTCAGTGATTATTATATATGATTATCACTTGGCTACGTGAACATACATAAATCTGTTCAATCTCAGCGACACAAGCATGTCTTCATGCGCACACACAGTTTCTACTCCCATTCATTCAGGTTTATATTTACAACTTTTACAGGACGAATGGACAGCCATCACTTTAAGGAAAAACAAAGAGAGAGAGAGAGAGAGATTATAAGTTCAGGGCAGGTCAGTTTTTATAGAAATGCATAGATGTGTGTTGTACTTCCATCTGGCTTATTACTTTCTAATGCAGGGGAAAGACATTGGCAAAGAAACACCTACTACATAAATAGTTTGATTTGAAGTTGCTCTTTTGAGTCCTCTCTATTGACTCTGACATCCTGCTGTTAACAGTTTCATGGTATTGCTTTGTTTGCTTTAAACAAACCTCACAGGGTGGTAGAATATGTCTGCGGTGCAGAGGTCCTTGGATCGCCTCTCTGTTGTCTTTGTTGACAGCAATGAAGGTGGTGAAAGAACTGCTCACTCCTGATTGGACACTGAGCTGCACCACCTTCTCCTTCACTCCTCCATCTTGCTGTCCTCTGAGCTCTCTCTCCTTCATCTCCAGGGAACGAAACAGAGTGCAAGCACCCAACCTGTGGACTGTTAATCTGCAGACAAGGAAGAAAACATTTACAGTTCTAATGTTTCCTATTTTTGCTACATTTGTGCATCACTGACTTTTCTGTTTTTCTGTGCTGAGGGTGCATTCTTTTTATATTAGAATTAGTAGAGTTACAGAGGGTATATAGAGTGTGAACATAAAATAAGAGCTTGATTAGGCTGTAGAAACGGATGAAAATCCAGTAAAGTGAAGAGTGTGTGTGTGTGTGTGTGTGTGTGTCTGGCAGGAAGTGAAGCAGGAAGTCTGAATATAGCTTGTGAGCTTGTGAGAGACGTTTCAAAAGGAAAACAGAGGAATTAGAGAGTGAAAGTGCTAAGAAATAGTAATGAAAATGATATTAAATAAATGTCTTAGTGTGTTAATACAGGTGCCCATGGACTTGGCTCAACCTCAGATGAGTACAGCGGCAAAATGATAGATTAACATAATTGGAACGAAAAACAGGCCAGGCTTTGGCTGAAATTTTACAGCTTCACCTCTCATCCTGCCCTTATCCTGAGAAGAAGCTTAAAGGACAGTCAATCTCCTGATGAAGACAGAAAACAGACAGAACAACACCGTAGATTTGAAGAATTAACAGCAGGCAGAAGACAGTACAACTGACCTAAAACACTGAAGGGTCCAGCAGCATGTATGTTAATGGAACATGTGCTCTGAATTACAAGCTGGAAAGAGTACCAGTGACATGACTGTGTGAAAGCACTGCATTGGACTGTCTGAGTTCATATTTGCCATGCTGGGAGTTAACCGCCAAGAAAAGACTGAAAAGATGAAGAGAGAATGAACAGAGAAGAAGAAACGGCTGATTTGGGCCTGTGTTTGATTTGGGAGGCCACACAGGAAGCTGTGAGAAGAGGGGACGAGGACCGGTGAGAGGTGAAGGCTGGACGTGTTCAAGTGAAAGTATAGGAAAATTGGGTTGAAAATTGAGGCTGAACTTGTGGGGTTTAGAAATGTCCAGAGCATCGCAACAGAAAGGTGAATTAAAAAAAAGAGAGAGAGCGGGATGAAGAAATAAATAAACTAATAATACATAAATGAATAGAAAAATCTTTTGTATATGGCGAGGTGCTGTGGGCACCTAAGTCTTTGATAGTGTAGAATTTTCAAGTCAATACCATGGTTGCATCTACTGAAAATCTCTGTGAAGCTTAAATCTCAATGACCTTGACTTCAAGGTCAGAGGTCAACTTTTCTGAAAATCAGAGGAGTTTCACATTCATAACACAGGTATGTCTACTAGGAGGCTGAAGGGTAGCTCTATATATTTATAAACAATCAAAAACAACAATTATTACGCAATTTATTTCCAATTTGTATGGAATTTATTTCTGTAAAGGTGGTGTTTTAGGTCTGATTGAAGGACTGATGTGATGGTAAGGTGTCCACTGCTGCGCTTTGAAGATCATGAAGTGATCATTTTTGGAGCAGCTTAATTAATTTTTGCATTGTAATTTGCTGTTAATGTCATTTTCCAACCCCAGTTTGTATTTTTATCACTTTTGTCCAGGGTGGAAGATGCCATGCTGGAGACTGATTCAGTATGGTCTTTCAATGTTGATACATGGGAACCTTTTAGAGAGGCCAGGGCTGAAAAAGGGATGCCGGAGAACCTGAGAGGGTGTTATCCGCTGGTGTGCATCCAAGGCCAACATCTGTTTAATTAGGCTGACAAATAAGCGTCGGCCCGCTTCTGGTCCTCGTCTAAACATCATTAGCTGTTCAAGGTCATCCAGACGTGTAAGTATTATGTATCTTGTCTCCAGGGATTCATGTCCTGTCCCTGGAACAGAGCCTTTATATTGTTCTTCCGTCTTAAATGTCCAGCGCTGTTGCTTGTATTTGTCTCCAATGAAATAGTTTTCAGTGTACACGCCAGAGTCTAGCACATGATCTGGTGGCTGACCCTGAGTCTCTATGATGAATTTCAGATAATCATAGTCATTCTCCGAAGGGTAGAGTGGCAGCCCTGTAGCAAGCTCCACAGCCACCAGCCCCAGAGACCACATGTCACTTGCTTCATTGTAAGGAAGGCCAAGCATAACCTCAGGTGCACAGTAACCAACCGTCCCCACAAAGTCACCAGGTATCACTGCAGACGCAGGACATGCGAGGCCAAAGTCTATAAGTTTGACTTTGATGGGAGACTCATGGCGGTTTACAACCATGATGTTTCCAGGTTTGAGGTCAGCGTGCACTATTCCCACAGAACTCAGGTGGGACAGAGCATTTGTGATTTGACCTAAAATTGGCCTGACTTCGCTTATGGGGAGACCCTGTTTATTCCGGTCCCCTATGTAGTCCCACAGGCATTGATCAAGGAGTTCAAATTTCAGGCAAACCCGCTGTCCGTCGTGGAAAAAGCCGTTCCATTGAACAATGTTGGCGGCATCTGGATCCAACCTTCGCAGCTGCTCCAAGATGAAAATTTCCACATGTGCCTGTTGCAGAATATCAGGGTCGCTCTTGTTGACTTTAATGGCAACAGCTTGGTTGGTTGTTGTGTCGCGACATTTGGCTACAATACCAAAGCCCCCTTCTCCGAGGAAAGCCTCTACCTTGTAGTGCTTTCCCAAAATGCTCCCTTTAACTAATTCAAGCTCATCTGAGCTGAATGATGGACTGGCTGATGTGTGGACGAATACTTGCTGAGAAAATTCAACCGAGTTTTGAAAACTGCAGTTGATTTTCTGTGATCTCTTGCTTTCCAAGTTTGAAGGGTGCTGAAAGACCACAGGGTTTTGTGATATTTCAGCACTCATGTCAATGCACAGGGAACTCTTAGGGCTGAAAAAGGGATGCCGGAGAACCTGAGAGGGTGTTATCCGCTGGTGTGCATCCAAGGCCAACATCTGTTTAATTAAGCTGACAAATAAGCGTTGGCCAGCTTCTGGTCCTCGTCTAAACATTATTATTTGTTCAAGGTCATCCAGACGCGTCAGTTTTATGCATCTTGTCTCCAGGGACTCATATCCTGTCTCATACTGAAATTGTTGGTCAGTCTTAAATGTCCAGCGCTGTTGCTTGTCTTTGTCTTCAATGAAATAGTCTTCAGTGTAGACGCCAGAGTCTAGAACATGATCTGGTGGCTGACCCTGAGTCTCTATGATGAATTTCAAAACATCATAGTCTTCATTTCCAGGGTAGAGTGGCAGCCCTGTAGCAAGCTCCACAGCTACCAGCCCCAGAGACCACATGTCAATTGCTTCATTGTAAGGAAGGCCAAGCATAACCTCAGGTGCACAATAACCAACCGTCCCCACACGGTCACCAGGCATCACTGCAGACGCAGGACATGCGAGGCCAAAGTCTATAAGTTTGACTTTGATGGGAGACTCATGGCGGTTTACAACCATGATGTTTCCAGGTTTGAGGTCAGCGTGCACCATTCCCACAGAACCCAGGTGGGACAGAGCATTTGTCAGTTGACCTAAAATTGGCCTGACTTCGCTTATGGGGAGACAGTGGTTTTTCCGGTCCCATATGTAGTCCCTCAGGCATTGATCAAGGAGTTCAAATTTCAGGCAAACCCGCTCTCCGTCGTGAAAAAAGCCGTCCCATTGAACAATGTTGGCGGCATCTGAATCCAACCTTCGCAGCTGCTCCAGGATGAAAATTTCCAATTTCGCCTGTTGCAGAATATCAGGGCGGCTCTTGTTCACTTTAATAGCCACAGCTCGGTTAGTCATGGTATCACGACATTTGGCTACAATACCAAAGCCCCCTTCTCCAGGAAAGCCTCTACCTTGTAGTGCTTTCCCAAAATGCTCCCTTTAACTAATCCAAGCTCATTTGAGCTGAAGGATGGGTGAGCTGACATGGTGAAATGTGTCGGCTTGGTCGGTGAATTGCTAAGTAAAATTCTCTCAAAACTCTCCAAAAAGGGTTTGCTTGCTGTCAGGTCAAGGTCCGTTGAGCATTAAAGTTTAACAGAGCAAAGCTCCTACTTAAGGGTTTTTTCTCTCAGCAAGATGATGACATAACAAAGGATCTATGTCATCATCTTGTGATGTCACAAGATGTCACCTTTTTTCACAAGATGCATTCCATTTGGATCAAAGGCATTCTATTTTTTCAGTTGAAACACTAAAAAAAAACAATGTTTCAACAGGCCAGGCTGCATTTTCTGCTGCGACATCTCAACAGGAGATAATAAGATAAAGACAAGGAAGACTGGTGATCTATCCATATCAGCAACATTGGCAGGTTTCTAGTGCAGGAAGTAATAAATTCAGCCCTCGTGTTTGCACTACAGGTTGCTTTCATGAGTATTTCTGTTTTTGTGGTGGGGGAATTTTTCCTCGTTCCAACGATGTAAACAAAAACATTAATTGTGCTTTCCGCAATGACTAGTAATCATTTTGTCCTACTGTTCATTTACAGAACAGGAAAGGTTTTGTTTGGTTATGATTGTTTTGCAAGAAATGCTTCAATCACAGTGGGGTAGTCTTGATTAAAATGTTATATGAGAACTGTGGCACCATGTGTGACCAGATATTGGCATGTAGTCGTCGCCAGACTGTCATCAAAAGTGTGAAGTTTGGGACAGACTGGACAAAATACATTTTTAGAGATGAAAATCTTATGTCCAGTGATAAATGATCAAAATTCCACCACAAACATGGCTTTGACGAAGATGTCCCTTTCTGAAGTAACCCCAAAAAGTTCCTGAAGTAACCAAATGGAATTTAACCAGTGACCTCTCACTTTGCAGGCGAATGTGTAAACCAGCGATGCCTGGAAAACACTAAAACTGTGCCAAAATGTCATTTTACATTCAAAATGGCGGACTTCCAGACTTCCTCTTTGGATTGGGTTCACTGAATCTGTGTGTAATAAATGTCATACACGTATTTCAAGCTGTAAATAAGTTGTTAGAAGTTCTTTAAAATTTCTTAAGTGGTGCTGTAGATCCATTTCCGCAGTGCCAGTCACTTTTTTAAAAAAGTACATTTTGACCTGATGTGAAGAACGCAAAAAATGTCATTAGTTTGGAAGCATGTTTGGTATATGATATACTTGCCTGACTAATAATAATTTATTATTACTATTACTACTGTTGTTGTTGTTGTACAATGGAGCCTTTCCCCTGTGAATGACCAGCTCCCAGCTAAAATGTGTATTTTGTGCCATTTATAAGGTCAGTGCTTTATCATACCTTAAACTGTGCAGGGTAAAAGCCTCAGTTGCTGGGAAAAGCACAGGTGTATTAGAGTTTTTCTGAATTGCTAAAACACTAAACCCCATTGTAAAAACTAAACTGTCAACTATGAAAACTCTTTCATCAAATCAGTCCCACTGTTGCCAAAATCTTAAACACTATTCAAAGCTCAGTCTCCCATTTAGCAAAACTCTAAACACAAAACACACTTAGCAGTGTGGTGCACCTGTTGTCGTGTGAAGGCTGTGTGCAGTAGTGATGTCTCCTGTGTGTCGAAGCTTTGAAGCGTGTGTCGGGTAATCTCGTGGTAGTTTTGTAAAGCGCGTATCGAGGCTTGCTTTGATTACGTATGCAGTGATGTTCGAGGCCTCGCGGGCAGTCCGTACCACGTGACTGATTCAGGAACTGGCTCGCCGGTTTGCACCAGATTCTAAATAAATTGGGCAGCAAAACACAGCTGATTCCCCGTCACATTGTGTTGTGGAATTGGATTACGTCCCAGTTACATACTTACTTGAACATTTCTCCTTCGATGGAACCAGCAAGGAAGAGAATATTTGTCTGACAACATTTAATCTCATCTCTCCTAATAAAGTATGCACACAGTAATAAATATCACAAATGATAAGTACCATAATATAAATCAACAACACCACAGATCTTATAATCTGATTTCTGTCTTTTAGTTTATTACAGTTTTTTCTGAATGCCTAAGCACATTTTTTGTAACTATTGGCTAATTTTGCAAAACTCTTCACACAAATAAGAAAACCTGTCACCCAATAATCAAAACATTGTAGTTCTCTTGCAAAAGCAAACACAGCTAGATTAACTCTTCACACCTTCGTAAAAATGGTGTTTCCGTATCAAACAGTACACACAAGCCATCATCTACTAAGCACACAATGCGCCAACTGCACACTGATGGTATGAATACAAAACACATCTGGCTTTTGCTTTCTCTGTGCACAAGGTAGGCTATGTCAGTTTGAGCTCATACTTCTGTCATAGATCCATAAGCATAGAGGGATCCAAACTTCAAGTACTGGTGTACTTGAAACACATCAAAACAAACACAAGTGTTCATTTCCAAGTATAGGATTATTTGCAATCGCCATAATGACTATATGGGTTACTTGGTCTGCAGTGAACATGCTTCCTCTGCCCCCAGCATCTGGTCATCTAGCAATTCTGTAAAGTAACAATTTCAGTATTTTTACATCAATGGTATTGGTGTGTTTCTCATTGGCATATGGCAGTGCTACAAATCTTTGTGCGAAGTGACTGTACTAACCGATTCTCATTTCAAGATGTCCTTATGGTACTTGCTACAGTGTAGCGGCTCGAGTTAGGCTGGACCCGTTGGCCAGCTACCCTCAGGGTCATTCCACGGTTGATTACATGGTTGATTACATGGTCCACTATTGTCATCAGCAATTCTATTTCTTACTCTTCCTACCCTTCCTCTCCCCCCTCCTCATCTTCCTCTCCCCCTCCTCGTCTTCCTCTTGCTCCTCCTTGTCCTTGTCATCCTCTTCATCCTACTTCTTCACCTCCACGTCCTCTTCCTCGGCCTCCTCTACTTCTCACTCTTTCTGCTCCCTCCATTGTACTCCGCACACACAGCTTACCTGTATTATAGTGCTTAGGCTGATTGCAAAGTGAACTAATTATCTAAAAAAGTTTTCACATGTGAAAGTGTGCCAGACAGTTGGCAAATTAGTGTTAATGATAGCCATACATGTGTATACTTTTGCTAGGAGTGTGTTGGAAATTTGGTAATTGAGTGTTGTGCAGTGAATTGTGCCTACCGTTTTGCAAAGTGTGTGTTACAAAATTGCAAACTGAGTGCAAAGCAGTTTATGTGCTTTTAGTTTTGCAAACTCAGTGAGTGGTTTTGCTATAAGTCTGAATAGTTTTAGAGATTGTGCTACAGGAATCACAGTTAGGGTTTAAGCATTCAGAAAAAACTGTAAGTTTAGAGGTTTACACATCACATCATTATAATCATTGAGCCTGTCTGACTTTAATCGTCCACTTGATGGCGCAGTAGAGCCAATGAATCGTCACAATGCTTCGAACCATGAGTCGACCAGTTGGATGGAAAGCTTCAGTTCATCACAAGGCTTCATCTCACCATCACTAATGAAAGCTCTTATAATTTGGCTGCTATTAGAGACCATTGATTTAGTCTCTCTTTGGTTACTACGTGGATCTTTTTTCAGACAAATTAATGAAAAAAAATATAATAAATGGAAAAACAGAGTACAAATGTGGACAGTTAACTGGATATTACAGCGCGATTTCAGTGCATAAATACATAAATACAGGTCTGAGACGTAAGTGGTGCAATATTGATAGAGCTCACATGACTCCGTCCTGTTCGTATCCCAGAAATCCACCAGGATTTTAGTGCCTCATATACTGCACAGGTCATTGGCACACCTGAGATTCAGGACGACATGCTAAGCAGTGCTGTGTCACCATCAATAATACACCATATTAATGCAAGGTACAATTACAGCTGGGCTCCGCCACATTTTATTTTAACAGAGGAAATAAAATATGCAGAGCTAGCTGAGTTGGTTGAAATTCAGTTGCTACTTTAAGAGAATTTCATACAAGAATAATTGAAGATAAAATAGGTTATTAAAGCTGTCATCATTGCTTCAGTGCCATATTCTCTCTGCTGTAACTCCGATTTGAAGAGGGCTTGTTTAGGCAACAACTCAGAGCACTATACGATCACTGCCGGTCACTTAGGTGATTTGTTATAAATGTGAAAACAGCTATGCAGGTTTAATGCAAGGAAGTCTTTACTCAGTGTTTGGCATGGGTCCTAAATGAAGGAGGGGTAGTCTGTCAGTCACTGCATTCCTCACCTGCATGGGAAACTTCCCAAACTGGAAGTTATCAGAAACATTGGAGACAATACTGAATCCACCAGAGACAGCTGGGACAGGTCCTAGTCATTACCATACAGAAAAGAACGGATTTATTTCAGTTCAGTTCAAATTAATAAGGTGAAGAAAAAACAGAGACTGCATCTTATGTGTTTTCTATTCTATTCTAGTAGTTTTAGAATCCAATAACTACACAAACAATCATGGCAGTGAGGTGTGGAGGGCCAGGAGTGACAAAATGAATGAATTAAATATGCCATTAATTATTGAATTAAATGTTTCATTATTTAATTAAATGCCCATTCACTTCACTAGTGTTTGTAGTTGTTGTTGAGAAATGCCCACTGAAAGAATGGCCACCAGGGCAAGTGCCTGTAATCGGATTACAGTAACTCGTTACTTGTAACGCATTACTGCCCATCTCTGTTGAGAACAAATAATGTAAATGAATAATAGTGTTCAAATTGTTCGTTAAAACTCTGCATATCTCAGAAAAACTAAAAAAAAATCAGCTTTCTTCACTCACTTCTTTACAATGCAGCCATTACAGTCTTCTTTGATTGGTCGCTGCAGGATTGCCATTCTTCTCATGTTTAGTTTTTTTTCCTATCAGTGCTTTAATTCTATGAAA